TCATCAAAATAACTATTTGTTTCGTTATCCTCAAAATACTATTATATTTTCTTGAACTGCTTTAAATCCCTTAAGTTTATTAATTTAACTAAACACCCTAAAAAAAAATTTAAAAATTAACAAAAATACCCCCACCCACCTACATTTGTCAGATTCTGGCCACCACCACCGGAAGGTGGCCGGAATATGGAATAATGGCACACTACTGGCTGGATCTGGCCGGTAGTGTGCCGATCTATCATTTTTTGGCCAGAACCATGACCAAAGATCTGGTCGTTGATAGCCAGATCTTTTGGCCATAGCTAGTCGTTAATGACGGCCATATCTTTGGCTTTTGCTGAAGACCAGAAATGGTCATAGATCTGGCCTTTTTTGGCCAGATCCGTGGTGGATCTGGCAGGAAAAGATCATATCGGCACATGAACAGCCAGATCCGGCAAGTCGTGGGTCGTAACGCCAGATTCTGGCAGTGGTGACCGGAATCTGGCAACTATAGCGAGGATGTTTTTGTCATTTTACAAAATTTTTATATATTAGGGTGTTTCGTAAATTAGCAAATCTAGAGGAGTATTTTTGTTAATTTTTAAATTCTACCTTGTTATTCCCACGCAACTATAAAAATATCAAAAATCCTATTCAAAATACTAAAACAAATGGATCCTCGGATTTCCATTAACATGTTGGGTCAAATTGGGCTACTCCAATTACCTAGCATTGCACGTAAAAACCAGTTCTACATTTTATAAGGTAAGTGGGCACGATTGTTGGCATCGACGACCAATTATCGGAAGTGCAATCCAATAACTGCTTCTAGCATTTACAATCTATCCATTTTTTTTTTTTTTTTTAAGATTTTATTTAAATTAATTTTTTTAGCTAATTTTTAATATAAAGATTATGTTGTAGTTTAATCGACTACATATGGGTATATTTGTCATTTAGACTATATGTTACATGCTTAATGGGTTCAAATTCCAAATGTTGGTTGGTTACAATATGATTGGATTTGGTGTAGCTTTCCATTCTCAATGTCATGGTGACTGAACTTGATAGTTACGAAAGGAGAAGAGTATATATAGATTTATTGATTAATATCCTTATAGTGGTGAGCAATAACATGCATATTCATGGTGCTTTGGTTGTTGGAGGATTGGATCATTATGATTTAAGTCTTGATCTTTTGTAGATTATGACCCATGTCATGCTTTTGGGCCTTCCTCACATTTTTAGGCCACGCTCTGATCCATTTAACCATTTTGACCATTTTTTTTATTTTTAAATATTCTTATTGCAAAAGTAAATTTTATAATTCAATAATATGTTACATGGAGGATCAAAGAGTAACATTGAAGAAGCATTAGAATGCCAAATTTCATCTCTCGAGTTTGGGTCTCCACGATTGTTAATAGGGATGGTTACTGTAGCTCACACACAATAGATAGTTTCAAGGTCACGAAGGATTAGTTGAGTCTGCATAAATTGACTTGGGCACCCCCGATCATTAAAAAAAGAAAAAGCATAGGACGTAATTTGCAATTCAAAATCGAGCCAACTGCGTAGCATTCAAAAGGAAACTTTTGGGCTTCAATGGCCACTGGACCTGACCCGGTAACTCTACCTTCCTCTCTTTCCCATTTTTCTGCCCATTTCAGTCTCTGCTCTCTCATCGTCACCGCCGTTTAGTGAGCTACTCCCTCCGTTTTCTTTTAATTGTCGTTTTAAGACTTTTTAAAATTTTCAAAATTAAAGTCGTTCTGCCTTTGTCTTGTCTGCACCTTTCATCATGCCTTCTCCACTTTTTATCATCCCTCTCTCTTTCCATTCCATCTTTGTCATTCCTCTACTTTTTGCCTCTGTCTCTCTTTAATCTTTTATCTTTATTTTATCTCTTCCCCGCTTCTCCTCTCTTCCTTATTTTCCATCGCCACTTCTTCTTTCTCTAATTTGTCTCTGCCTCCATCTTTTCTCTCTTTTTCTTGTCTTCCTTCTATATGTTCCTCTCTCCACTTATTTGAAGCACCCTGTCATCTTCAATCTCCACCTTCACTTCCTCTTTCTTGAGCCCTGGAAGATCAGCCTTGAACTTGTGAGCTTTTGGGGTTTCCTTCCAGTCCACATGGGTGTTAACAAAAGCTGAAGTTTCTTGAGGGAGTTGAGAGGAGAGTGACGATACAGATGATGGGAAAGGAAAGTCCTTGAATGAGTTATAGACGGCACCTCTACTATTACATTGTTCGGCCATGGTGACTGACCGAACAAAATCAAAGAGAACAGAAAAGAGTGAGGGACGAAAAAATTAAAGAACTGGAGCAGCGTAAAAGAAAAGAAACATATGAAGTTGGTGGGAGAAACAAATGCAATAAGACAAAATTGTTAAAAATGTTATTTAAATAAGCGGGAAAGTTTCCCACTTTCAAAGTCTCTCCCACCTGCAAAATCAGGTAAAAAAAATGGTGCGAGAGAGAAATTTTGTTTTTTATTAAAACCTGTGCCCACACCTAAAACGTCAATTAAAAGAACAATAACACTACGGACACCAAAATATTTGCATCGAAATATTGTACCGGCCTACGTGTAAGACATCTCTAAATTTTTTAACAATTTTTTTCTAGTGAACGGCCGTCCATCAAATTTGGACGGTCGTTCACTCACATGGACGCCCGTCCATATTATATGGACGGGCATCTATATACAAGGAACAGGCGTCCCCCATAAATAAAATACAATAAAATGTTTTTTCTTTTTTAAGTATGGACGGGCGTCCATTACGAATGGCCCGTCCAAAAGTAATGGACGACCGTCCATAACATATTAAAACCTGTGCCCACACCTAAAACGTCAATTAAAAGAAAATGGAGGGAGTATTATTTTTTACTTTAATATAATTTTCCAAGAAATAATATATTTCATTAATTAAAACATAGGTGTCAATCTCCCATAAATTCTTTTGTTAAGACATCAATTTAAGAGAATATTGTCTAACGTTTTCGAAAGGGAAATCTATTTCTCATTGGTCAATCTTTAAAATATTGTTATAGCAGTTGTCACTTTAATTTTACTTTAAAATACATGTTTTTATTACTTCTTTTTCAAAACATTAATATTTACAACTAATTTATTAGAAATATTCGTTTCCTGTTAATCATGCATAGAGCCATAGATCATTCCTCTATAGTTTTTAATACTTTATTGCGAAAATTCTAAATTATCAATCCATGGGTAACCCAATGATAAAGGCAAACTAAAGGGTTGTGCATGACTTCAATTCACATTTTGATTCATTGTTATTCGCAAAGATAATACATTTGTCTATGATTTACTTATGACTTAATGAATAGGAAAAATAAAATAAAATCGAAATTACAGTTCAATTTATATAATTTATTTTACTACAATAACTAATAATAATGCATATTTAAACTTCATTTATAACAAGTAAATATGGCAGAATACTATTGTAGTTTTAGTATGTCTCCATAAATTTGACCACATACAAATATTTTGAATACCTTAATTATATACATAAGGGAGGAACTCTCTATATTACTAGAGTAGTGTTTGTGCAACCTGACACGATGGACGATAACATTTTTTTTATAATTTGCTTCACATTATTGTGTATATATGTATATATGTATATACACAATAATGTTATGGATACGGAAGTTTTACACAAAACGATTTGTCATCTAAGTAGATGCAACCAAATAGCACATTAGCAAACATTCCGCAAATGAACAGTATGGACGAATGTCCATGATTATTAGAAAACCGTTCATTTTTTATTTTTATAATTTTATGGATGGGCGTCTATATGAGGTGGACGCTCGTCCATAGCAAATAGAATTTCATCCAAATAACAGAGACGGGAGTCCATTGTTATTTTCACACGGACGAAAGTCTATTTAAGATGAACAGTCGTCCAATAATCATGGACGGTCATTCATTCGCGGAATATTTGTCAATGTACTACGTGGCTGCGTCTACTCAGATGACACGTCGTTCGGTGTAAAATTTCGATGCAAAACTTCAGTGTCCATAGCATTATATATACAACACACACACTACTTAATAACCCAAAGTAACCTTTTTTCTGAAACAATAAGGACCACAACCACCCCCAGCCACCCAAGACTGCCATCAACCATCAACCACCACCGCTTATAATCACTGAAACAGTGCACAACCGGTCAGATCTGACCGGCTATGTGCCTATAAGGTCATTTTCGCCCATGGATCATGGATCCATTACTTCAACAAAACTACCCAAGACCACAACCACCCCCAGCCACCCAAGACTACCACTGACCATCGGCCACCACCACCTATAGTCACTGGAACGATGCACGACCAGTCGGATCTGCTTAGCTATGCATTGGTAAGGTCATTTTTGGCTGTGGGTCACGGATCCATGGTCGAAAATAGCCAGATTTGGCTATTCCACAATCAAAGATGTGGTTGTAAAAAGGCTAGACCTTTGGCTGTGAAACAGCCATGGATCAGATCCATGGCCGGAAACGGCTTTGCCCCATTCTAGTGACTTCCAACGGTGACCAGCGGTGGTGGTTAGCTACGGGCAGTGGCTTGGGGTGATTTTGTTACAAATTAAAGTTTTATATGACTGAAGTGTTTTAATAAAATTTCAAATGCAAAGGGTTAAAAGAAATTATTCAAAAAATAATATTACATTAATATTTAAAAAAGAAAGAATAATTTAGTAATCTGTATAACATACCCACCTATTTATCTTTCTAACCAAACATATCAATATAACAAAAATATATCCATTAATTTATTAAAATCTAACCAAATATATTTTCTTAAATATTCCTAATAATCTTGGAGGAAAAACGTAATCAACTGAAACAACATAGATGAAAAAAATTATCTTATTGAAACACTCTGCTTTCTTGTTCCTGTTTCTGTGCTAAATACAAGGCTAAAACCAGAAACAGAAAACAGATAACTGAAGCACAAGAAACAAATAGGGTAGAGACAACATGGGGCAAGAAGAGATGGTAACACCGGGAGAGGTAGAAGTCAAACCTACAGAAGTCAAAGCAAGAAAGGGAACCTACGTGGCCAAACACAACGGCATCATCTACGCTTCCCTCACTGGTCTTCCTCGTACTGTATCCCTTTTTATTTTTTAGGATTTTAGGAGTTGCTGCTTATAGGATTTTGAAAACTGAATAAAAAAATAAAAATAATTTTACTTTTAGTTACCCTTTTTTTGTTTTTTTTGGTGGGAGAATGTGATTAAAGATGTGGGTTTTAGGGGTTTAAGTGATTGGTTACTGGGAAAATGTAGGAAAGTGAAAAATGAACCGGGAAGTTTGAGTATTTTACATTAGTGACGGAAAGGAAAAATTAAATGAGTGATTTTATATGTGGGATTAAGGGGTGTGTGCTTCTTCGCAATGGCTAGTCGAGTTTAGGGTTTTAAAGTTTTTAGTTGTTTGGTTGGTAAAGAAAACATATGAATTTTATAATGTTTAAATTTTGCTTCTTGAAAAAACCTAATAACTGGAGATAGGGACTTATAGTCATGCGTATGTATTGAAATCTTGGCCAAATATAAGAAGTTTGTTTATCAGTGTTGATGTGAGCAGTTGAGCTTTCCATTTTCATAAAGTATTCCTTCATTTCCCCCTTTCTATAAAAAGATCAAAATAAAGCATTAGCATTTGGAAAAGTGGTAATTTTACCATTGATTTCTAATTAAAATCAGTTCTAATTGATCTCGGAAGAAATTCTTTAATTTAATGGATAATGGTGGTTGCTCTGAGTAGTTGTTTTGTTGATCCCTCATTTAAACATCTATGATAGCTTTCAAGTTTGAACTAATGAAGTACTGTAACTACTTTCAGTGGAAAGCTTATCTTCTGTCATTTGTTAGTTCATATTTTTCCGTAATGAACTGATCTCCTCACCATCATTTATAGCGACCAACGGCGGAAGTTACAGGTCACAAAGCCCATGGTGCTGTTCCAGCGCCTGGTTCTGTTGTAATTGCCCGTGTAAGTTTACCAGTTATATACATTACCATTTATATATAAAATTTGTATTCAAATCATTTGCATTTTGCCGGTCATTGCTTCAAAATGGTATTTCTGAAATTCATTTGTACTTAATTCATTTCTCAAATTGGCCCTGGCCCTCTTAGATCCCTTGTTCAGGGTGTAATGTCGGTTGTGCTGTTGTATCAATGTTTCATGCTCGTTTGAGTTGGACCTTGATTAATCTTCTAAAAAATGTTAGAGATTCGGATTCAGTATGATTTTAAGGTTGTGAACTTACATATCTTTACTCTTTAAGCCTTTCATATTTAAAATCATGCTCTAAATGGTCTTCGTATAAATGTGTGTTTTTTTTTTTAATTTTTTTTTTTTTTTTGACTATTTGAAAATTCTGTGTCTCGTAATTACAATCCCTCTTCTATCGTTGATAAACCTCATCTGTTTCTTTGTATTACGGTATTTTAAGATTTATGAAGATGAAGTCTCATTTTGTTCCCATTGTATGATAGATTACTAAAGTGATGGCCAGGATGGCTTCGGCTTATATCATGTGTGTTGGCTCCAAGTCTGTGAGAGAGAAATTTACTGGCACAATCAGGTTTGTTATATTGTAATTTATTTTTCATGAGAATAGGGATATGTCTATTCTGTAAATATTAAGTTAGTAATTTGCACAATGACATTGAATTATAGTCTTAATTAGTTTAGAACCAGTATCAGGTTCCATGTCCATTTCCTACAGAGCTTATATTCTTGCCTCACTTACACCGTCAAGAAGGGATTCAGCAGCTCAAATGCTTGATTAATTTTTATGATTTAGTCTAAATTCTGCTTAAAACTCAAATGCTCTTCATCTTAACAGGCAACAAGATGTTAGAGCAACTGAGATTGACAAAGTGGATAAGCATTTGTCATTTCGTCCTGGTGACATTGTCAGATCTCTGGTTGTATCCTCTATGATTTTGGTACTCTCTTTAAGGTTTGGTTGGTAGAGTGGTGTCTCTAATACTATATATGATAGTTCAAGTAGCTAATCACGATTGAAGTGGATGAATTGTATAACCCACTGTTGTAACATTGTATGTAAGCTTTTAATCGTGAAATGGTGATTCTTGTAAAACTGTCACAAAATAATTATATGGGAATGGAATATCGTCGTTGTAATTGGGATATTGACGGACAATGGCTGGATATGTAAGCGTTGGTATAGTTTCAAAACAGTTTGCTTTCGTTGTTAGGCTTAGGTTTCCCTCATGTGGAGGATGACCCAAACTAAAGACCAAAAATAAAAGAAAAAAATAAATATTTTGCACCAGCTTTATTCGTTCGTCTTTTGAGTGGGTGAATAGTTAAAAAATTAGGTTACTGTTTAAAAAAAATCTGCAGAAGTGAGATTTTCTCAAATTCCAAATCGTTGTTGTTGACGGCAAGATCTTCACATCCAACAGTTAGTTTCGTGATAGCCATATTTTTTTTGTAGATTTTTGTCTCTTGAAAGACAGTCAAATTAAAGAGTTGAGTTACAGAATTTTTTAGTCTATCGATCCTTCTTCAACCTGACGATTAGAAGGTTATTTCTAGTCTAATCAACCTAATTTTTTGTCAGAATATAGAAGACATTTGGCTCTTTAATTTGGACGGTTCGTTTTCGATTTTAATGGCTGAGTTTGAAGTTATACAGCCTGAATTTCAGGTGCTTGCTAGTGATTTTACTCTTTATTTTTTCATAACTCTTTTGTATATTTCACTTTGTTAGAGTTGTGATAAATTTTTAAATTTTATGTGGAATATTATTGGTGATACATGGCTGTTGTAAACACTTTTTACAGCGAAAAGGTTTTTCCACATAAAATTGTTTTTGTCTCTTGCGAATTTGTTTGTTGTTTCAAGCATATTTGTTCAAGATTTTACTCTTCATAGATTCATTTAAGTAGGAAATATTTTGTTAGTGTATTATTTCATTTCATTTGTTTCTCAATTTTACATTATTGTTTTATTTGATTATCTTTTTAATGTCTCATTTTGTATAACAGCGGCTTGACAGTAGATCTGTTAGTTCTCTGAGAAATAAATAGATAGATAAATAAAGACAAAAGAAGTCCTTAATGCAATCCCTTTGATAAGCTGTCCCTTGCAGATGCACGAGCTTATTCCCTTTGATAAGCTGAGCTAGAAAATATTATTTCTTGGTCCCTTATTAACACTCCAGAGCCGAATATGTGTTCTCTTTAGTGCTCTTGGTGAGGACTTGTTTTTGCCTTTCTGGCCTGCTTGGGGAGCTATAGTCAAGACAAGTGATTAGAAACCTAACCCTTGCAATGACTTGGCTAGGCCATCGAGTCACGGGTTGAGCGTTTTAATGAGTTTGACATGTTGATCAAACCAGTGTCTAAAGGTTTAAAGTCTAACAAAATCACCCTTGAAAACTATTATAAGTACACATAGGTTTAAAATCTTACAAAAACACCCCAAACACCACCGTCGACATCGGCAAATAAGGCATGTTTTTTTGTGACGACAACACTCTCCATCATCACGAAAACACTCTCATCAGCCTCTTGATCAAAACCTATCTCACCCCTTCCCCGTTCGCCTCTCCAATCGTTGGTGATAACCGGCTTTGTTTGGCGATTTCTGGTGACATTGTTTTGCAATTTTCAAATGATTCACTCACTAGAAATCGACATTGTTGCCCCCATTCTACTCATTATCCATTTCTCTTCAAAAGGCCTAGCATTCCAACCTTCCAAATTATAAGGTAAATTATAGTACTTGTAAATAATCAAATAGAATTGCAAGAAGAATTAAAATTCTTAATTATTCTTATAGATGAATTCATTTTTAAAATTGATCATTATTCAAAATAACCCAAACTTGCCGAAAATCAACCTAAATTATGTTTTTGTAACCTTCCTTTATAAGGCTAATATAAATCGTACTCCTTGATAGAAAATAGATTAGCAGAAATAATAAAGATAAGGTTACAATAACCCTGGTATTTCAACCTGCGATTGTGTACGGATTGATGTTATAATTTTTATTAAGGTTCTGATTAAATAAAATATGTTGTGACCCAACCTGGTAAAGGTGACAGCTTTACGGTTGAATTAGTTTAACCTGTGGGGCCGGTCCGGGTTCCTAATCTCTGGTCAAGGATCAGGAGTATAGATAAATCTTATTGGGTTTATAATTGCTTTTTGACTTCTTGGTAACATTATTTGCATGTGTCATATGATTTGATTGGAAGTTGACTGATAAGCTCAAAGTGGGTTCTTTTTGGGAGAAGCCTGAAGCCTTTAACAGTTTAACTACCTTCAATTGGTTGGTAAGTGTTATTTTTAAAATTTAATGATGTTGTCTTGTTCCTTGCACGACAAAAGATCTAAGTACTGTCAGGAATTAAAAATTTAAAATCAAACAGACAGATGTCAAGAATTAACTTTCTTTTTTTTTTTTAAAAATTTAGTAAAAAGTTACAACCAAAATTTCCACTTTCAGTACATAAATAACAAATAATTTATATTATAAAAGAATGAAAATATCGACTATATATACCTACATAATGCATATCCTTAATAAATTGAATTCATAAGATCTAATCACAATCTAAAACAAAACACAAACTTCAGTGCTGTGACGGCATGATTCGAAACGACCAAAGTCGAACCATTTTTCCAACTTCTAGTCTATTATCTGCATTATCTACCACCTCCTTAAACCAAGCTCCAATGATAGCATAAACGAAACCGTTGCTCATTCTCCACTTCTTAAGCTTCACTCTGACCGACTTCTCACATGGCGTAACCAATAATACCCCAATCCCATTTTGTTCCTTTGCATCAAGTATGTCCTTCTCCTCATTAGTAAGAAAACTATCACTTTTCACTTGTTTCCTCGGTAAAGAAAGACGATTACTTTGCTGCTGTAAATCTATCTTTGTTAATGTTTTTTCTATAACAAATCTAATATCCGAACCATCCATTCTTCCGACAATAGATCTTAACTTTTCTGGCAGGGGAGGTTCCACCTCTACCTCCAAAACCGGCTGTCGTGGAGGTTCAGATTGTGATGATTCATCACTCATAGATTCTGTGGAAGAATTACTGGAATCTGCAACAACATATAATGTTTAAAAAAAAAAAAAAAAGAAGGCTTGAAAGAATTTACTGTAGGCAGAAGACAAAACTGTTGACTTTCGTGGAAATGAGAAAGAGAAGAAGATATCTGGAAAAATTACAGTCACTACATATATTGATGATCACTGTTTCTTTATATACAAGAAGATAACCATGGTTAACTACTAACTAGAGTTAACTAAATGATTAAGTTAAATACCTGACTAACAACTATGCTAACAAACTAAATAACAAACTAAACTGATTCTATTAATCAAGACTAACAGCAAACTAAAAGTAGTTAAACAGCAGGTTAACAAACTAATCAGTTTAATACTTCCAATACTAAGGAATACCCTTGGTGACAGCTTATCTTTGGCAGAGAGGATGGTTGCATAAGTCAATGATCCAAATACTTTCAAATGATGCAATGCAGGGGGTTTTTCAAAAAATTTTTCAAAAGGTGACAATCCGTTAAGAATAGAAGTGGGGATTCTATTATGAGGTAAACAGCATTTTGTACACAGTAGCCCCAAAATGATGGGGAACATGGACTGAATTTTTAAGGCCCTAGCAACCTCTAAAATGTGTCTATGTTTCCTCTCTACAATGCCATTTTGTTGAGGGGAGTAGGCACAAGAGCTTTGATGATAATCCCTTTTGTATGCAACATATCATCAAGGTTTTTGTTAAAAAATTCTGTGCCATTATCTGACTAATGCATTTTGGTTGTAAATGATATTGTGTGTGAACTATTTGAAGAAATTGTTTGATTGTGGAAAAAGTGTCAGATTTAAATTGCATAAGAAATAACCATGTGACCCTAGAATGGTCATCAACTATGGTAAGAAAGTATCTAGCATTTCCATGGGTAGGTGTCCTATATGGACCCCAAACATCCATGTGCAGGAGGTCAAAAATATGGGCAATCTTGATTCACTATGAGGGAAAGGTACTCTAGTCTGCTTGGCCAATGGACAAAAAACACGTGAGGATGAGCTGATGAATTTGACTTATGCAATTTGGGGTGTATAAGTGGTAAAGTGCGATAAGACCATGCCCTAGCCGTTGTGCCACAATGCAAATCATGATTCAAAAAATTTGACATAAAAGTTGCAGGTGCAGGAAAAACAGGCACTTTATTTGATTTCAAGATAGGAGATACAACATTTGATAAAGGTAAGTATTACATTCATTTTTATTCATAAGCCCTAGTTTGACATAAAGAAGAAATTTGTAAATGTGGTCAAATTAAATAAACCTTGACTATGCTTACCAATCCCCTTCAACCTGCCATTGGAGTGATCCTGAATTAAACAAATCAGGGTAAAAGTAACAAAGCAATTATTAGAGGTTGTTAATTTTGAAACAGAAAGCAATTTGTGGTGAAAGTCAGGATATGTAAGACATTGATAAATGTAAACCACTGTCCAGATCAACTGCCCCTACATTTTTGACATAAGTTTTAGTACCATTTGGTAGTCCTACAAGGTATTTGGGTGAAGTCCTACGGCAGTATGTGATTTAGGATTGAGAAGTTGAAGGTCATATGATCGGTTGCTCCTGTATCATTATCCACTTATTGTTATCAAACAAGAAAGTAAGGCAACGAGGTACCTGCGAGATTGGCTGCTGGTGGTGAGATATTTTCTTTATTCAGCAATTGCAAGATTTGATTATTTGCTCAGTGGTCGAACTGTCCAACCAGTGGTGGTGATTACCATTCCGAAGAATCAGTGGCCAAATTTTGCACATGTCTTGGTTTGCAGAGACTTGTGTCTTGGAATTACCTTTTCCTTTTGTAAACTGATAGCCAGCCGATAACCAATTAACTTGTAGCAGCTTTCTCGCTTGTGTCCAGGTAAGTGACAAAAGTCACATTCAATATATGGCCTTTTTCCTTTGTACTTCTGCCCTTGGTTCTGTCCTTTGCCATTATTGTGTGCATACAAAGCAGTGCTACTTCAGAGTTTTTATTCATCCCAGCCAAAATATTTTGGCTTTCATCCTGATGAACCACAGAATACGCTTGTTTGAACTTAGGCAGAGGAGTCATAAGGAGGATCTGGCTTCGAACCATTGAGTATGAATCACTCAGTCCCATCAAGAATTGAAGTAGCTTTTGCTGATTTAGATGTTCCAGATATGTTTTTGCTGAGACGCTATCAGGAGCAGGCAGACTTACTAACGACTCAAGTTCGTCCCAAAGTGACTTCAGCTTGTTAAAATAGATTGCTACTGAGTTTGTGCCTTGAGTCAAATTGACAATCTCTCATGAAGACCAAAATTCTTGTGCCATTGATTTTGTTATATTGTTCCTTAGGTCTTGCCATCCTGAGCTGCACTTGTGGAATACACTATCCCGTTAAAGATATCTTTCGAAACAGAGTTAAAAATCCAAGCAGTACCAGCGAATTGCATCTCTCCCATTGCGGAATTAGCGAGAATGAACTGAAGCTTTGTGCATGTTCCATCCACGAAACCTAACTTATTTTTTGCACAAGTGAAACAGTCTGGCACGACTCCAAATACCAAATTTTCAGTTCCGACGAGTGTGTCAGAGACCAATACAAGCCTGGCGTGTCTGATGGATGAACGTAGAGGGGTGAGTTGAGTCTATTGAGGAGCAACTGAATCTTCACTCACTGAATCTTCACTCACATTAACCATTTCTGTCGGAAGAATCGAGCTAGGTTGAGAAGAGGAAATTTGCAAGAACTGAAAAGATTAAGCTTCCCTGAGCTTGATTAAAGTAAAAATTACTCTAATCGAACTAATTTGATTAAGATGTGGAAGGTTTCTCAGCTCTGATACCATGTTGACTTTCGTGAAATGAAAAGAAAGAAGATATCTGGAAAATACATTCACTCATATATTGATGATCCATGTTTCTTTATATACAAGAAGATAACCATGGTTAACTACTAACTAGAGTTACTAAATGATTAAGTTAAATACCTGACTAACACTATGCTAACAAACTAAATAACAAACTAAACTGTTCTATTAATCAAGACTAACACAAACTAAAAGTAGTTAAACAGC